GATTATAAACTGAGTAGCACGACAAAAAGTAAATTAAAAGAAATATGAAGGAGGTATAAGGAAGAAAAATCGCTAGATGATTGAAATGTGAATGACGCCAAAGTCAGTTGCAAATAGTTGAGCACAAAACAGTGAGCCATGGAGTCTTTCGAGACAGATATATACATATGTATATATATTATATATATCCAAATAAATCAACAAAATTAGTGAAGTATAAAAAGACATAACGATAAAGTACCCAAAGAAAAAAATTGAAATATCGGTGAAAACAGGTTACAAAATTTAAAGAAAAAAATATATATACATATGTAATTAAGGAATCAATAGTAGGAGAGAGCAAGGGAATTGTCAATTGTAATTTGCCCTTTTCACAGTAAGTGTAAAGACCGAGCAATAACGGATAAAAATAGAGTATAGGTATAGAGTAGCAAAGGAAATGCAATCATGAAACTGCTATGGATTCTGGTTTAGCTATAAAGACAAGCATATCAAAGCTCGATAGATCTTAAAACTACATTTGTGGATTAAGAGAGCTTAGTTTGGAAAATAGTTGAAATTAAAGATTTTCATTTATTCAGAAGAATTTTCGAAGTAACATCAATATTAAAAATATGTTGGAAGGAAAAATCGGACCCATAAAAAAGATATTCTGGATCCTGGATGAAGGATGAAGGATAAGGAATAAATTTTGTAAGAAGTGATATGAGTAGAGAAAACACTTAATATATTAAATGCTTTGAAATTTGACAGTTCAAATTGTACAAAATGCAGTATCCTAATGGTCATCTATATCTCTACTCGGAGACCCACAATAAAGTTGGGAATCTAAGATTCTCAGAATTAAAGACGTTTTTGAAACAATGCAACTATAACAAGGATCCATACATTTCTCTTAAATATAGGCAGTAGCAACTAGCTTCTTCTTGCCTAGGTGCCTGGCCTCAGCGGAATCGCCGGAACTTGTATAGCTGACGAGTCTGTAAGGCACCTATTCCCAGGTTTTCTTGTCTACGTGCATTCTGTCGCTGGGTCTATAGGCTTCGCACGAGCTCAGCAAGAATGATCAACCACCAGCACTTGTGGGATTGCGAAAGCCTTCTGGTCCAGAGTCGAAGGCAGAAGGTCCATTGAGCTACTAGCTTTTAGCAAGACTCACATCGCCGCAATGATAGGCGTCCTAACTGGACACTGTCTTATTGGCACTTACACGGCGAGGTTAAAAATTTTGGAGTACATTTTCTCCTCTACTGTCCAGCTTTCGCCAAACTAAGGTTGAAGCATTTCGGTTGCCATACTCTTTACGAACCTGAAAAACTGGCTGGTATTAATTTAATCCCGCTCAATAAATTTCTGTCATTCTCTAGGCGTTTTGTCGATATGCGACGGTCTTTTCGATCCATACCTAGAAGTTGTGGACGTCACAACGGACAAGCGTCTCTAGCTGTTCAAGTGGGATTTTTCGGAGCCTCACGAAAATCAGCCTATTTACCTTACCTAACCCAGCCTATAGTCGGCCAGTTTGTCGTGGAGTCATTATGATCATTGATCTAGTACCCTTTACTAGTCCGAGTCTGCAAAATACAAGCAGTTCAGTTATTCAGGGGTTTTGTGGAATCCAATACAGATTTGCGTTGTTGTCGGAATTGCAAACCAATTCTGATTTTCAATAGTGTCACAGAATCTGATTGGATTTTCGTCTTTTCGAACATATGCAAAACCAATATTCGAATAAGCTGTTTACTATTGTAAAAAAAATTGCAAATGCATACATTTGGAAGCGTTTGCTAAATTTAACATACTGAATAAAGTCTACTAAAGTTTACAATGAGTTCTGTTATTTTAACTTTTATTTTATTGGAAGAAAAAAGTAACGAAAAAATTATAAAGAATATATTAAAAGATCACAGTAATCCATTTGATGTACCAGTTGAAATTAATTGCTTAACTTTCATTTCAAATCTGTCAGCGACTATCCTCTTGCTTTGTTTCTAATAACAAAACCGATACAATTTCTGTTTCGAACGTCGAACCAATAATATCTGAATTCATGACACATACTACATTTTTTATCGGTTTCAATTCTGATTCCAACACCTATCAGGCTTTACAACACCCCTGATTATTATTGATTATAGAGTAAAGGGAAACTGTTTTAAAATTTAGCTACACTACAGACTTAGTGAAGTAGATAACAGCAAAGGGCTCAAAGGAACGTGATTCTCACTCCTATTTAGCGATGAATGAAAATAATTAATTACCGGTAGAAAGCACAATATGCAACGCAAATGTGTAGTTGAGGAAAATGGTTCTAGGTACACTGGATAAAAAAGAAAGAGAAGGCGAAGCAAAGAAGCATAACTGGTGAACGGAATAAAAAATATAAACAATGATCAATAAGATGAATCTACAATAGACAGGGAGTCAGAGAAAGAAAGAGTAAACTTCGATTACTTCATGTGGGCAAAATTTACCATTTGCTTCTATTTTGTTGATTTCTTGATTTTTATACTCTCGCAACATGTTGCAACAGAGAGTATAATAGCTTTGTTAACATAACGGTTGTTTGTAAAACCTAAAACTAATCGAAATAGATTTGGATGTGTATGTGTAGGTATATTGTAAATGATCAGGATGACAAGACGAGTTGAACTTCGGGTGGCTATCTGTCCGTCCAAGCGATAACTTGAGCAAAACTTTATACATGTATGTATCTTGATGTAATCGAAAACAATATAATGCTATAACTATGCTCCAAATTAAGATACAAAACCATTATTTGGTACAAGAAATCCAACTGGAAAGAGGCTGAATAGGTTGAAAATGTTTAAAACGTTGGCGTAGGTCCGCCGTATAATGGGTTTAATGAGCATATCCAAGCAGCAACCAATCAAATGGCAGTCACGCCCACTCTCCATAATACGTTTGAAATGGTGAGGCAACTCAACAAATACCATAAATGCTTCACAGACATTATATTTTACATGGTATGGTACTGAAAAGTTTCATACGAGCAGTTATCACAATTATAGAATGGTTGTGGCACCGCCTACCTTAAGCTGAAACCCTACATCTCAGGAATTCCTCGACTGAGTTCCACCAAAATTGGTGCATGCCATTATGTCAACATACATATGTCACGTTGTGAAAATGGAAATACGAAGTTGATCAACAACCACGCCTTCTTATCAGATATAGAAAATTTAAATTCCATACGAATCATTCAATTTATTTATATACTTGTAATAGAAATCAAGCACCAATAAATTTATAGGAGCAAATAGTTTCTAAAAGGTTTGTCATCTTACGTTCAAAATTATACGAAATCTGACAATAAAATTTAATAATTTGTAAACGTTGTTCTTGTTCGGTTACTCCCGAATTTAGCTGCTTCTTACTTGTTTTGTTATTTTTCGTTTTGTTTTTAACGACTCATGAATATTGTGTAGGGTCAGTCAAGCGATTGTCATTGTGGCCCGAAGGCAGCGAAGTTCAGAAGAAACAAAAATACACTAATCATTTTACGCATACATATAAAATGGCGGGTATCTTGCAAGAGAATATACTAGTATCGCACTGGTACGATTGTGGCCACTCTAGAATTTTTGCATTGCATCTATTTAGAATCATTAAAAATCTGCTTACGATCTATTTTCCTTACAATGGAGGATCAGTATTTTGCTGTGTTCCCGACACTACAGTGGTTATAAAAGAGAAAGCAGATTTAATCTTTAAACCCCTTGATGTTACACTATTCCGAACAGACCTGGATTTGGTAAAATTGTACTAGTCCCGAACCTAAACGCATTGTAAGTAGTTAAGATTTTACTGGGGAATATTTTACTATGGCAATCATACACATAAATCTGTCAAGCCTTACGTTTGTTTCAGCTATTCTAAAACCCCTAAACCTACTCACCTCTCAACTTTAACTAATATGTTTGATAATAATATTGATTTTCTTTTAAAAAGTTACAAACGAAACCAACGAAAAACTTCAGTAGCTCCGTTTTATGTATGGTCGTATTTTAAGGTGGTTCTTATATGTTGGTAAAGAAGGTTTACGTCCTAAACAGTTTTATTTTTTGAGTCTCCATGGATAAATCTGTACTAAACATACAACATTCGCGATCAAAATCTTTAAACTAGAGTATGCAAGATTACACGAAATAGTTCACTCTATGCTTTAAGTATCACCCTAACGGCCGTATACATGGCGGCGCGATTCCGCCTGTCTGAATATTGCTTTGAAACTGGACAGAAAATATTGACGCTGAGAAAACTTACTTAATTGGCGCAGAAATCACTGAGCATAATAGAGAATACATACAGAAGTATTAATAAACGTATAACGGCGTATGCTCTGAAGCTACAAGATGTGGAAAGCTCGTCGCTTTACAAAAAATACTCCTTCGTGGTCAATATTATTCAAAGGATAAAGTTTCTTAACTTCTCCTCGTGTTCGTCCCTTTTATACTTGGTTCGTGAGCAACAGTGTTAATGCTAAGTGGGAAATATTAAATTAGTAGTACAAGGTTTTTAAAATGCGAGCATTTTAGTTAATTTTAAGCTTTGTTTTTTTTCGTAGGAGTCCTCCTTAAGCCGGTGCAGTAGAACAGAACAGTTGATTAGTGAGTCTATCACAATTGGAGTAAATAATTTTCTTATTTCATTGAGAAACAGGGAACAGTTAAAATAATGATTATAAAGACCTCTGAACCCTAACTCTACAACTTGAACTTGTGTAAAACAATTTAAATATTTTCCCAATTGCTTGATAAGGGAAGTTTATTAGAATTTTATTTGGGGGACTATTTTACTAGTTCAGCTATTTCAGAAGAAACCCTAGAACTCGATTTTTATTATTTTACTATATATGATGGATGCTGGAGCTTTACTCTGCAGAAACATAATTAATAAACCCTTCATATGCAAGGAACTTGACTGATGGAATATACTAAAAAGCAATAAACAGAAAATATGGTAACCTAACTACTTACATCGACATTACCATTCCACATGTAATGCATGCCAACACCTGTCGGATCGTGATGCGTCTGCCCAGTCATATGTTCGGCCATAACGGCACTCATCCAATGCACTAAACCCTGTGTGGGGTTTTGCCCCTGAACCCCGCCAATCGGCATGGTGGCGGCGACGGCTGTGCTTGCACTTGCTGCTGCTGCTTCCGAAGCTGCACTGACCGCTGTAGGCGAACTGGGTGTAGAGCCGGTCGAATGCAAACTCTGATGCTGATGTTGTTGCTGTGATTGATGTGAATTGCTCAAATGGTTTGCCGACGAGGAGTTGCGCTGTTGTTGCTGTGTTGGTGGAGTTGACTGTTGTTGTCGAGCGGGTGACTTTAACGTGTTCTCGAAATTGTGTGTGGCTTCAGCAGCGATCGCGGTATGCAAATCTAAACCGCCGACGGGAGGTGTCGGTGTGGCCGAACCGGAAGACGGTAGGAGGGTAATATGATGTGAAGACGTGTGATTTGCAGTAGAACCAGTGGTGCTGGTCGGTGTCGCTGTATTCGCTTGCGCGGTTATTGCGCTCGGCGGTGTGACAGCTGCCAGGGGCCAAGAATAATTGTTGGGCTTCTGCGAATAAAAAACACGGAAAGTGTTGACTGAATAATATTTAGTCAAAACAACAATTTAGATTGTTAGATAAGTTGTAATAGGGCCTTTGCCATAAACTTTTGAAAGTACAGGACATTATTTGAACTATAGAACTTAGGTTAGCTTAGGTTAGGGGATACAGTGGAGGTCACCTCAATTTTGATGACCTGCTGCTTTCACGGCTTTTCATCTCCTGTGCTCGATCTTAGCTTTAACTGTACACATTTAGAAAATAAATGTTATATAATTTAGACTCAGCGGAAACACTAAAATTATTAACTTAGTTCGACTTATAGCCACACCCACATTACGGTTATAATAGAAACTTAAACAACACAAATTGCATAACCGTTACAATACGAGTATATTTAATTATAAAGCAATGCCTGAATGAATGAAATTGAACAACAACTTTCCATAAAGAACCAACTCTGATCTCAAAACAAATCGGTTTTTGCCTTCACACAGTCTATATTCGGACTCTGAGCAACTTGAAGAAATTTCCTGAGGCCGTACTTTTGTTAATTAAAGTAAACGAAAGTTTCGATCAGGCACTAGATTATATATTGATAAAACTAAGTTTTAGTGCTGGTCACCGTAAGAAGCTTCGGTTTAACTGAATTAACAAAAACAGCCTTTACTTTCAAAATTATTATTTCTTCTTTTCAAATTTTAGTCAAGTCAAGTTGAAACCTTATTTAATGATGCTGGGTTTTCCTTTTATAAAACAAAATAGTTTACTGGCAAAAAATATTTATAATTATAGTTTTTTCATGTCTATGACTACACCTAACTGCTTATGCGTGCATAGCGTTATAGATAATATTTTACGCTCCGAATTTCGCCATTCGTTACTTAATGGAAACAAAGTTTTTGTTCAAGAATTATAGGAAAATGTTAAATGTCTACATATAGTATCATCATTACTGAATCATTACAATACCGTACTATATATTATATTTGATAGCTCTACCTCATCCTAACTCTGTATATTTCTAACCCGGAAAGCATGATATTTCGCTGAATTAAACAATACCAACCAGAAAAAGGTGCAGCAAGTCAGAGGAAATGCAAATGTATCGGAGCACCTTCAAAACTCACCGGAATATCTACCTCAGATTAGCAATATTCTTGAAAGAACGCATATCAGTGTTAAATCATGCTCTGTCAGTTTAATGTCAGGTTTAAATAATACTTGTTTATTTAATCTTATAACTAATTACTTTTCCATCAACTAACATGATTGCTACCGCTCGCGCTGTCATTTGAGTCTCCGGTCGCCTCGCTGGGCAGTTCCGCTGCAACAGCGTTGCGTTGAGCTGCAGCTACAGCCGCTGCTGCTGAGAAGAAGAAATTACGTGAGAAATGCGCAGTATTAGAGGATGCAGCACGCTGTGAGTCTGTCGGCGATTTACGCTCGTACTCGACCTCACTTTCATATAACTGTTTTTGTCGATGCAGTTGATGTTGATGCTGCTGCTGTTGCTGCAAAGCAGCAGCGCTTACGAGCAAACTTTTGTAGAAATCTGCCGGCATTAAGAATGGTGTCGCTGCTGGCGTTGGTGTGCTTGCATTTAATGGCGACGTAGACGTAAAGTCTACACACTGAACGGGGCTTTTGCATTCGTTGCTGCCGCGGCGCATTCTATGTCGCCACGTGCACAACTCCTCCACATCGGCCAACTGTTGCGCCGAAGCGATGTTGTGGCTGGTGGCCAAAGACAATATACGCTGCGTATCATTGCGACGTAGGAGGGTACCTGCCGCTGATGGCGTCAGTACAGCGCAACAGTTCATTGTGTTGGGTGACATTCTCATTGTTCTTTAGTACGAGTATGCGCTGCATATACTTTCTGCGCCTTCAAGTATGCTACGCAGTTGCTAAAGTTTTGCTCAATAAAATGTTTGTTTTGTTTGATTGTTTTACTTTCCGAATAATTTTCCGCTGATTATCCGCGTTGTTCGCGTTTTTATTTATTTACTTGCGATTGGCTATATTTTTTCTTATTGTTGAGAAAATAGAACTAATTTGTTTTATTCTGGAACTCTGCAGCGATATTTTAGGAGCATCATTGTATCATGAGTGCCTTTTTGCCAAAATTTTTTTTTAATTTTTTACGGATTTTTAATAAATAATATACAAGTATCTTAGTTTAATAAATAATTTACATCTTCGGTAAACATTTTATTTTCGTTCTTCATTCAATCATTTAAATTTTAAAAAAATTTTAATTAAAAATTTGTTTTTTCAACGTTCAGTTTTAGGAACTTCGCTAGCCATGTTTTATAATTTTACATTCTCACATTATTTGAAATTGTCTGTTTTAGTTTTTCGAAAGTAGTTTTTCGGTTTTTATTTATTAATTTTTTTTTTAATGAAAAAAGTACAGTTTATTCTGGTACTTTTTCTATAATCGTTATATTAAAATTTTTTTTCTAACTTTTTGTCTTAATTTTATTTTTGTTTTTTGTACTTTTTAAAATAATTTTATCCGCACTTTCTCACTTTTTCGTTTATGATACTTAATTAATTTATTTTAAAATATGTTCGTTTCAAAAATCCCTCAGTTTGTCACATTTCGATACATTAGTATTATTTATATGATTAAATAAATTTAATAATCTTTCTTTTCTATAGTAAAAGTTCATATTCACAATATTTACTATAGAGTTTTGTAAAATGTTTTTGTATATTTTTGTTGTTGTTATACTTCTTAATTGCGCTGTATTTACTTCCGCATGTACGTTTTTTTTCTTATGTCTCTTTTACATCTTGCTATTTTCTGCATTTATTTCCCTAAAGCTCACTTAGTATTTTTAAAACCCATACATTTTTGTATGTTTATAATCTTTTGTTTATTTATTTTCAACAATTTGTTTTTGTTTTTAGTTTCAAGACTAACTTCATTATTATTATTACTTTTATTAATACTTTTTATGATTTTTTATTCCTTATTAGAATACTTTTTACTATTCTACTGTTTCTTTTGATTACTTTTTTATTTTGTTTATTCATTTGCTAACGGTATTCTCGATTTATATCTTATCTTATCTTAATTCATAAAATCTCTGGCAATTTGCTTATATTTATTTATTTTTTACCGTTGTTTAACTTTGTGTTTTTGCGAAGTAAAGTTTTTATGTCCGTCACATTCGCTAATTTTTGCACTTTCGTTTAGGAACTTTTGGTTTTCTTATTTTAAATAAATACTTTTCACATCAGACGACAAAACGTGTCATTTTGTGTCATTTGAAAACTTCTTACTTCTTATGTATAAGTAATTTCATAAACTTATTTTTTATTCGGTTTCACTAAAAACCCGTTTTATGACTCTTTTTTCATTTATGTGGCTTCAAAACAACGTTTTTTTTTATTTTAAAATTTTCCCACATTTTCCATGTCGCACTTTCTCATTGTTCCAATTCAATACGTTGAGTAGATTTGTACTCGTTTATATATATAAATATTTCTGTATTTTTTCGTCGCACTGCGCTATTTTCCGCCTACTTCTATTTGCCCACGTTGTATTTATTCTAAATTTCTGGTTGCTTTCTTTTCCACGCCTGATATCGTTGTAGTGGTCGATTTGCTTTTGTTTTTGTTGTTATTAAAGTTTGTTTATTTTTCGAAATATTTTTTATATATTTTATTTAAACGCTAATATATTTTTTTCTACGCAGCTATATCACGTTTTAGGAACTTTCGTTTTCGTTGAGTATTTTTTACGCTACATGCAACAGTTTACGCTACGTTTTGCCATGGATTTCCCGACTTTTTGTCAACTTTTGTTTTAGAGAAATTGCATGTCTGCTAGGTTGGTTATTTCTTTTATTGCCGCAAATTCTCCGCTATACGGCCTAGTAGGGGGTTATGTTTAGAAATTTGCAAAAAAAACTATATAATCGATTTACATGAAATTTCTGCGCGTTTAGAAATCATTCAAATAAATAAAATACATAAAATAGTAAAGCCAAGGGAAATCAAAAAATAAAAAAATTGTTTTCATTCAGAAATGTTAGAAACATTTAGAATCAAAGTTGTGAATGGAGCAAACGATTGCCGTATATTACACATATACTTATATGTATAGGTATGTATGCAAGTTGTGTGAATAACACTAGTAAATACTATCAAGTTAAGCTACCATTCAACTCATATACACACACTACAGTTATGTGGCTACCCTGCAGTGAAACTAACTAGTTATAAATTACTATGGAATTAGTATGGTATGAAACAAAAGCACCCACCGACTATTTGGTAACAGTAACTGGTATTTTTACGAATTGGTCCAAAATATATCAATTACATACTAGTTTGAAACAGATGTCTAACTGTCTACTTCTAATTTTATTCCGAATAACCATTTTTATTTGGTATTTGTTCTTAAAAAAAAATACTGATGCTCTAACATAAAAACTCTTTCTGAATTCTGTCTAGATTAAGGCCATTAAGTTTAAATTAACAACAAAGTGATTCAAATCTATATTAATTCTATGTACCAATTTACTCAGTAAAACATTAAGGCGTTAAGTGGAGAAACAATATCAGTCAAGGATAGAGTCTTTTTAAAGCACTTTACAATCTCATTGATTTATTAGGCGTAATAAAACTGTAACGAGTATGGAACCTTATGTTATGGAGGAGAGTTTCATTGATAAAACACTTATTTATTACCATAGCCGTTAACTAGATATCAACTCGCTCGCTTAAAGTTCGCAAAAAGCGTTAATGTTCTGTATGTGAATACTTTCTCCTCCATCTGGCACTACTAAGAAACCGTACATCTATGTATGGCCTAGTATAACTTAACCGAACCTAAGAATATCCCAACCAAGCCCACGGAACTTCTGGCGAGCCATACCTCTCCTTTTAGCCAACGCGGGCGATTGCTTATTTCTGATGGTCCAATTGTTGGCAATACAGTTCGGAATTGAGAGTTATTAGATTAAAATTATAAACTCATACTAGCGGATTTTCTTCCAATCACACCAAAAAACACAGCTCAACCGTTTCGGTTTGACATTGTCAACAAATTGATTCAAATCGTTTGTAAAACAGTTTCAATGTCTTTCTTATTTACTTGAAATTTGGCAAACATTTTCTTTATTTTCTTTATAGATATAGAAGTAGGTATTGCGAACTTCAATTGGTGTGAACCAAATTTTTTAATTCTAGTCAACTTCATTGGCACAGAGCTAAAACCCATAATACCACAAAAAAGTTCAAATTTCACAACACTTTAACCGAAATATTTTTGAGGAACTGGAAACCCCGTTTTTTTTTTAAATAGCCACCATTTCGCAAGAACATTATTTGCTCATTTAAAGTGGAAAGTATTAACAGATTTATTATATGTAATGATTTCGGAAAGGTTCGATAATTTATTAAAAAAATCAAACAAACACAACCTTCGTTGCGCATAAAAAATTTTCCTCCAAACTTCGCATGCACCTACATGCCGTATACGCAACATTAGTAACGCTATACATTCGTATATGAATGTATGTACATATGTGTGTAATATAGATTTGTATAACATGAAATTATCACTCATCCACCAGGATCTACACTTACATACATACATCTGGAGGTGCGTACAGGAGGGAGAACTGACCTAGCTCAACTACTGGCTGGAAGGTTACGCACACATTTACTAAATTTGGCTAAAGAGCGTAGAGTGACAAAACGAGTGGCGCTACAGACAACTGAAATTAGCGAAGAAGAGAGCACAAATATACGTAGAAAGTATACGCAAACGAGCGTGATTGGAATGTTTGGTATATTCACTGTGTTATGTTAGAAGTTCAGATGAAGACGGTTTCCGGCATCAAATGGATTAGAAGAATATTGTGGGTCACTTCAATATGTTTCAGGATTCCTCTAATAATGTGTTGATTTTTTTTTTGTATGAAGTAAATAAATAAACATAAAAAAGTAGAGCAACAATAGCAAAGCTAACGTGATAGTTAATATGTCAGTTATCCAATGAGATCTTAATGCAGCGATTCAATGAGATTAAAATTGAATTCGTAAATGCTGTGCACTTCCTATAATAGTCAAAGTTTTTATTACACCCTCAACAAGGTATATAAAGTATAAGAAGGAAACGTCGGTGACCTCATAAAATATATATAATATATATAAACTATCAGTATGACGAGTTGGGTCGATCTAGGTATTTCCGTCTGTCCGTCTGCTTGTATACACGCTAAACTAGTTCTCAGTTGTTGAGATATCGGCCTGAAATTTTTTACACGTCCTCTTTTCCTGAAGAACCTGCTCATTGGCTAGAACTGCCGATATCGAACCAATATAGCATATAGCTAAATTTGGCATGGCTTATTGTCAATTGGAATATAGTGTATTTGTGTAGAGTATTATAGCAGGTATTGGTGCAACCGAGGCTAACGTTTTTTGTTGCTTATCATTGCATCTTACCAGTATTACTCATTTATCTAAAACTTTCTTATCGAGCTTCTGGCGTAGTTATATCAACAAATAGTCAAAACTTTTTTATTTCTGAAACTTTCTACACAAAAACACAAACAACCTTTTTCATGCCCAAAGGTCCCGTTTACTTTGGAATGCACCGCCTATTAAATAATAATGAAACACCGGAAAAGTGGCATTCGTTATTTCATTATCACCGTTTCTCTATTGTAACCTGTTTGACATCAATTGCTTCAACACTCGCAAAAGCCGAACACACGTGCTGCTTCTTCCGTGTGTCGTCTGTTCAACGCACATATGTGTCATGCCGCCTGCCACATTTACTTCTTTCTCTGTAACCTTTGAGTTGCACTTTCACTCTCGCATATCTGCAACAACAGCAAGCAGAAAAGTCACACTTTGTCACACCGAACACCGAACACCAACACAGTTACGCGTCACGAGCACGCACTTTGTTTACATTCATCTGCGTTGCTTTTTCACTCGGTGGCGCAGAGGCGCGCGGTGCAAGCGCAGACGGCGCGTATGGTTAGCTGTCCGTGAATTAATAACAATCAAGTGCAAACCGAACTGCTGATGAAATATATACATATAGAAGTGATAACGGCGCATTATATGTATAGCGAGGCATGCGACACGAGGCAAGATAAACATTTTGACACACACACAAACGCACATATTATTGTTAATATATTTTTAACAATTTTTCAACAGAAATGTTTTAATTGTTATTATGCTGACAGCCTTTACTACTGGTTTTTGTTTTTGCTTTTGCCAATGGTTGTTGATACCGGGTTGCTACACTGCAGTGCAGTGCCTTTCGCTTGTGCCACGTTTGTGGCATGCACGTACGACCGCCACAACGCTTCCCTGCCATATGAGAAACCGAACCGTTGAACTCTTTGCCGTTTTACCGTTTCGCTGTTCAGCTCCTGCTGCTGCCGACTGGTGTAAGGACATCAG